AGAAGAGGGAATTTCATCAGGTGTAACTTGCCCAAAACTACTAAAATGCCTCTTCTGCACAACTTTTAAAGACGCATGAGTCCTGTCCTGTCTTTTATCTGGCAACCTACGGACAGCGCTGCTATGCATAGCAAGCATTTTGTGGGTTTAAAAAATGAAAGAAGAGGCATGCTCTCCAACTATCCCAATTTGGCAAGGACAATGCTGATTAATCCTCTTCCATCCCACTCTTTCAGCTGCTTTTTAAATGTACCACTTTCTCTCACATCCTTGCACTTCCTCCCCTTGTTCTCAGCTTGCTTCAGTTGCTGCAAACTGAGTTCAAAGTGCAAAAGAAGTTTGCATTCAGTTAACTCAGTACAGGGGAGAAGAGAAGAGGGAGCAGAATCTTACTCTTCCCAGCAAACTCAGGCAAAAGCAAAGTGCTGCAGCCTCTCCTAGTTTGTCTGTCCTCATCAATAACTTTTGCCATCTTGACCACACTCTGATGTTGCTGACCACACATGCCCTGGCTTTCCTCTGGGAAATGATAGAGGATATGGTGGAGGGTTGTTGTCCTCAGGAAAGCAATACATAGGATGAGGAAGACTCTTCTCATTCCTGACCCTGGTGCAAATCCTCCCAGTGGGCAGAAATTAGCATTGTGGGATGGGGAGGGAGCTCCCTTTCATGCCAAGAGTAGGAGGGAGTATATTTTGTTGGAATGGGAAGGATTAAGCTTTCTTTTCTTAAATCTGGTGATCTCATTTAAACTCAGAGATCCCACCACTCATGCTTACAACAAACATTTTAAAAAGCCTTATAAAACTGGCAGTACGTAATTCATGTTGTGTCCTGCATCATTAGACCCTAAGACGCTGTGCACATGTGCGATCTCCTGCCTGCCTAATAATACCTAATAATAATAATAATAATAATAATAATAATAATAATAATCTCCAAAAAATGTTAGATCACAGACCCCACCATCCCCATCCAACAAGGCACCAACAGATTTCCAGACCGTAACTGCAACATTAATGTAATGCATTACAAGGCAGGTCTGTTCCAAAAGAACTGTTGTTAAATGTTGTAGATCACATAATGCATAGTTTCCTTATGGTGGGATAGCATCTTCTTTATTTTGGAGACTTTGGATGGGAACCTATAGCAGCCTTGGGCAAATGTCACATTTTGAAACCCACTCATTTCTTATTCTGAGTGAGACCAATGGTCCTTCTAGCCCAGTATTGTCTCTTTTGATGGTTAGCCATGCCTTCCCATTACCTACCACCTGAGAATGTTTACCTGTGGACAACCACTATTAAGTTGTGACCCATTCCTGGCCAAGATGTTCCCTCCTTCCCACTTACCTCTATCTCAGACTCCCACACTTGGTGCCGGGAGCTCTTCTCGTCTTCTATGAGGTTCATCAGCATTTCATACAGGTGGAACAATTTCTTTTCTTTCTCAGTAGACCCAGCCTAGAAGCAAAACAACCAGTGAAGAATGACTGAGGGCTCCATTGGTCCTCCAGCCAAGGATGGATATATAAGGATATATAAGACCTAAGCAGAGTGACCGAAGTGGAGGACAGGGGGTCTTGGAGATGTCTCATCCATAGGGTCACCATGAGTTGGAGTCAACACAAAGGCAACTAACAAGACCAAATTCTGTTTATTGTTCCCAGGCACATGTCGATTCCTTGAACCACAAGGAAAGTTCATGGAAGCAATAGGACCAGGTGCTTGTGACATGTGTTCCCATCTCCTTCCTTGTTTGTTTCCTTCAAGGGCTTATTCAGATCTCTGCCAAATACCCTTATATCCTTTCCACTTGTCTCAGGGGGCTCGGTTTTTGTTCTTACCTGGTAGCTGTTGCACATGTCGGGGGTCATGACAATCTTGTTTCCCGTGTTGTCCACATCTGACCGTTTGTTGAATTCTCTCTTTGAAGGGGTGATATAATTCTTCTTGCGGTGGTAGGTGAGGTAGATCTTCTCCTCCGAGATGGAAAAGATGCGTTCGGCCACATCTTCGTCCGCTAGTTTGCTCGGGTTCCTGTGGAACCGCTCAGTGATTTTCTAGAAAAGGATGTGGAGAGGAAAGAAGATGCAATGGTACAGTGGAGTCAAAGTCCTGACCATCACAATAAAAGAAAAAGGGGTTAAAACAGATAAATAGTAGGTGGGAAGAGAGGCAGGGTAGTACAGGGAAATTTGTTTGTCAACTTTTTCCTAATTCAAAGAGGAGTCAGAAGACAACAAGAACAACTATAGAGCGGATTGGTCTTCTCTGCTGTGCTGCTTTTCAACATCTCTTTTTAACATGCAGATGTTTGAACTAAGCATTGCAATTAAGGAAAAAAATAATATGTGATTTAATTTTTAGATGATTTCATATCACTTGTTATGTTGAGTTTTTTTAGCCATGGATTTTACTATTGCTGACTGTCTCAGGGATATTTTATTAAAAAGTTGGGATACAAAAGTAATAAAAGAGTAGAAAAGCATCAGCTCCTAAAACTGAAGCTAACTTTGCAGAGCAGGAGACTGGATTGCAGAGAACCCTGCAGGGTATAGAATCCTGGGATTTGTACTTTATTGCTCTGACAGAAAAGGCAAACTATCTCACAAAACTGGAAACCCCAGAATTCCATAGCATTGAGCCATGGTGTCAAACTGCATTAATTCTGCAGTGTAGATGCAGCCTTGGTTTCTAGGAAAATGTCTGGCTTGATTTGCTTTCAGATCCGTATATTTGAGCAACTGGGCTACACTTACCACAATGGGCCTGGCATTGGTCTCAGTATTGACCAAAATGGCAGCCACTTTCTTTACTCTTTTGCCAAATTCTGTGTGGCGATAGTACAGGAAGTCTGACCGGCCTACAAAATATTCGGTCATATCTGTGGGAGTTTCAATGCGTTTCTCCAGCCCGTCCACCCGTGTCTCATGGTAAAACTCCATGGTCCGGTCTGTCTCGGGGTCCATCGTTTTGTAGATGTGGGCTAGGAAAGCAAAGAGAGACCCTGGATGGAATCTCCAGCCAAAAGATGGGTGAGAAAGGTCTGCAAAAACCTCAACGACCAGAGAAGCTGATGAACTACATTTCTGCATATGGGATAGGAGGAGGTTTAGTGTCCCCCATACCCCTTTGTCCTTTCCCACAACAAGTGGCATCAGAATAAATTGTGCAAACCTGCAGAAATATTCTCTCCCTATAACTTCTTTTGGGGTGACAACCTGAACTGCCAAACTGGGGCAACACCAACCCTAGCGATGCTGAAAAAAGGACGCATTGCTTAATTTGCAAGCTCTTCAGTGCAGTCTGATAATACTTAGAAAAACTAGTGAGGCACTTATTTTTCTACTGCTACTTCAAGTAATCAGTTACTTTTTGGAGTTACAAACTGCAATGGATTTGTCTTTTTGTCTATAACACCCAAGGTTACAGAATCATAGAACTGGAAGAGATCCCAAGGGCCATCCAGTCCAATCCCATTCTGCCAAGAAGGGAGACACAATAATCTCCTAACAGATGGCCATCCAGCCTCTGTTTTAAAACCTCAAAAGACGGAGACTCCACCATAT